GAGTTCGCAACTTGGTTTTTTTAGAGTGTCGACAAGGGTTTCTTTTTACTTTGGGTGATGCTGTGACTTATATTGCCCCGGTGAAAAGGACACCCCGGAGTCGGCCGAAAGCGCCGCCCTGGCGATCCACGGCCGGTGGGACTCCAGGATGGCTTCGTGTAAGTTCTTACATGCTGAGCTGGCAGCACCGAAGAACACTCACAGCCGCCATCCTGGAGCCCCACACAGAGATGATGACCAGTCTTGGGGCTCAAAGTGGCCGGAACCCACAGCCTCACCGGCGGAACCGCCGCCTTTTAAAGGCCCTCCCCCAGCACCGCCTGCAAGCACAGCTGCTCCAGAGACTCCAGCCCAAGGCATACCAAGCCCAGTGCAGGCACCACCGCCATCCCAACACACCCCACCAGAGCCCGAAGTCCCAGAACCAGCAACCCCACCCACCGCCTGAACACCTTCTAGCACCACCACACCCAAAGTTTCCACCTGAGCAACTTTACGGTTTGGAGACGGTGAAGCCGCAACCCTGGCAGCTCTGGGTAAGTGATTGTCCACGACCCAAAGAATCTTGCATTGCATAGTTCAACAACATGTATATACATATATCTGCATGTGTATATATATATATATATGTATATATAATCAACATGTGTACAAAAAGCTAGGGCAGCTAGGGAGACCAAATCTAAGAATGCTATATGGCATGATGTGAGAACCCAAAAAGACCCGCGGCGTCATATCCAGGTTTCGGATACGGATATAGACACATTACTGGCACGTATGAAAGCGGGGACGATATCATTAAGGTTTCGGATATGGACGTGCTACCACGGACAGGACGTTATAAACCAGTGCTGCGAAATCAACCCGAATCAAGTGAATAGGACTGCTTTGCAAAACGAGGTGTGCACCCCATAATGCTCCATCATACGACGCAGCTTTTCAGATGCACTTAATTGTCCCAAGTTCCTCTTTTTGCACTGCACGGGCAACAACTTGAAAGGATTGCAGGTTCTGCGGGATGCCTTGTTCGGCACCCAATCGTGTACGAATCATGGTGAGCAAACAGCTCACCTGACCTATCATTCTGCCAGCACATCATGTGCCTTTCTTGTGACTACTCTATGTCATCGCAGACATGCGGCAATGGATCGCAAGAGGGCACATAGAGGCATAAACACTTGAACACCCCGTTCACCTGACTAAGCAAGTTGCTACTTGCCAGCATGTGCTCTGCAGCTCCATCCCTTGCTCTGTCCCTTGGCCCTTGGCTTTTGGCCTCAGTCCATGATGACGGTGAAAGGAGAGCAACTCCAACGAAATTGCTTGGGTTCCTGGCATTCCCAGTCATTGTGGCTGCGACCGCTACTTCTGTAGCTCTGGGTGCCTCGGTGGCAACTGATGGCACTCCAAGGACCAATCGGTAACCAGAACGGCCGAATCAACAACGCAAGCGGCTGAGTCGTAAATCGCGGAGGAAACCAGAACTGCCGGATGAATCGGCAGCCAGAACGGTTGCATGGGAAACTGGAACAGTTGATTGAATGATTCGGAAACTGGCGGAAACCGGACGATGCTTTCAGCCTCGATCCCGTAAACCCTGAACCCTGATCCTATAACTCCTCAACGTTTATATGCAGCCACCCCGGCTTCCCCCATGTACAAGCCCGCAAGACAGATGCGCGACACTCGCGAAATTCCCCCCCCCCCCCACGTGTAGGACCGCGCGACACCACCCTCATCACACCCTCGTCAGAGCTTCCATATCGGTCCTAGTCTTGACCTTGTAATCATGCAGCGTGCGGCTCATTTCGGGTTTGATGTTACTCAATTGGACGTTATACGGCTGAGCAAGTTGATTTTGCAACTCGAAAGATCGATGGAGGGCATCTTGAAGTCCATCAGGATACTATACGGATACTGCTGGAGTGCTCGAATGGTGTGCAGAAGCTTGGCCGAACTAGAGTCTGCTCGCTTCTCGTTGATGCGACAGATACGATCGATAAACTAATCAATCGGTCAAGGACGCTAGATTTGAGGATGAAGGCCGACAGATTTGAGCCCTTCAACCCCCGGAGTAATGCAGCACGAAAGGGGCCTCATTGCTGAACACTTCAGCAAACGCAACAACAGCAAACTGCAGGCCAAACAAGACGTCGTCAGCGCTCAGGAGGCAACTCCAAGTCCCGCAAGCATACTGATAGGACCAATCGCCTGCAGCATGGCACAGAAACGGGCCGGGTGATGTTGGGAAAGAGCCCAGGTTTACCTCCAGCGTGGTAGTACCCTTCCCAAGCCTGCACCACAGTTAAGCACAAGGCACCGTGGAGACAGCCTTGTGAGATCAGCCTCTTTGGCCTTGGTCTTGCGTCCTGCAGCAGTCTGGCTGCTACTGGCTATTGCGAGCGGCAGGGTGACCGCCTCCACGTCTGCGGTTGTGTCGACGCCGATTGGGCCCGGGCCCGGCCTTTATATTCTTAGTGTGTTTTTGTACTCTTCTTGAAGATGAGAGATTGGCACTGCCGGCATCATGGGCTGTTGATTCGGGCGAGCGGTACTCCACCTTCCGTGAGAAATTAAGCTTTGATTTTAATCCTTATTGGAACAGTTCTGGAACATTCCCCGCTCAAGCTACGCAGTCAGCTTATGGGTACTCCTGGGATTCGATGGCAGATCAACCAATCATTGGAGTCACCTGGGAGAGTCGTTCTAGAAAACACCAAGACACATCAAAACATGCACACACACACACACACGTATTCGTCACCGATGCTTCTTAGGCATGCAGGAATTATGTCTGGTGGGCACTGGTGGTGGGCATTTCAAGGAGTATGGCGGCAAACATTTTCTGTAGGCAAGCACTCCAGGGCCCTTCAGGTTGTGTTTCGCGACACATGCAACCAGACCAAACCAAATCATGACACCCGTGACAACCCCTGACATTACAGCTTCAATTGAAGCCCCAGTCGCAGTGCCTCCGGGAATTGCTTGCTTGCGGAATTCGTAAAGGCTGTATGTGTAGCAATGATTAATACGTCGGTAATGCAACGTATACTATGTTCTTTATATTGTACAGCATAGTATACAGGTACTATTGCATGCGGGAGAAGCCCAGCGTCAAATAGGCCCTGCAGGTCCTGCAACCTTTGATTATACTGTACTATACTATACTTGCATAGTATCTATAGATTTTATTCGAACACAGCACTGTGCGCACTGCTGTGACATACTGCAATCTGCTAATGCCTTGAAAAGCTTTTTATTTCAGTCTCCGAAGCTCCCGCTTGACAGGCACAGACACAATGCAGTGGTTTGTGGTATGGTATAGTACACAGTATAATTAGCACAGTTTCTCGGCCTTTCGGCCATGACGTAGTATCAAGCCAAAGCCTCAAGCTTAAATGTTAAGTAGAGTAGAGTACAGTAAGGTACAGTATACAAGTCCAGACTCTTTAGCTTCAACAACCAACATGAGCAAACAGCAGTATGTCGGAGCCAAGCGAAGTACATCAACGTTCATCGTCTTGAAACGGACGTCGGCTTCCTTGAGCGCATCCTGCATGAATATGGTGGGCCGAGGACTTGCAGACTGCACGCGTTTCTGCTCGCAGACAGGATAGCCGAGGCTTGCACAGGTGAACATGTCTATGACAGTTGTTGTGACATAGAAACGGGTGGTGCCACGTGACTCATCGGTTCTCAACGAGCGAAGCATAACTCAGCACATGGCAAGCAATACATCTGCTGTGGACAACAATTGCGGATCCACTCAGCCGCGGCGCCTCGTCCAACAAATCCGCCCACCGGCAGTGGTGGAAAGTGTTGATCCTTGTGCGCAGCAATTCAGTACGTTTGCTAAACAAGTTGTTGAGCAAGCCGAAAAGTCTTGGCACGTACGTTTTAAGGAAAGTGAGAGCGTGGCTGAAAGCAGCGAAGGCAGACAGGCTGGCTTGACTCAGGATCACCGGTCCAGGACACGCATGCCATAATTTATGCAACCATGTACGTCAAGATGCCAAACGCAAGCAATTTACACAACCATTAACATAAGTCATCTGTTACACGCAACTTCACATTTCCCCTTAAATAAGAGGTCAAGCTGTGACGTAACTCACCATCGTCATCACCGACGTCATCACCGGCAAGGTCATCAGAAGCGCATATACTCGGCATACATGTTTTGATGGGTCGGAAGTAGGGGAGGTGGGGTCGCAGGGAGTGAGCAACAGCAGCATCAGCATCATCAGCACCGTCAGCAAAACCAGAACAACAAAGCACTGGAGAGCATCGTCAACATCGTTGCCGTCCTCTTTATCATTCATCGTCAGCGGCAGCAGCATCCCTCCTCATCACCCTTGGCATGTGGGATTTACCTGTGAAGTGGTGAGGGCTTTGCAGAGATGTCGGGGAGTGCACACGCCGGTACAAGGCAACGGCGCCAAACGTCACCATGCGCTCCCTCGAACTCTTGGGATCTGGCCATGGCTGTTTACACAAGGGTCCTCGCACAAACTCTGTTGACAACGAGCCAAAGGCTGCTCAAGACTATGATGGTTTACACTAAGTGTCAGGCCTTTCGGATCCAATATGATCTTTTTGCGAAGGACCTGGATCCAAGCAGATAGCTTTCACTATTCAAGGTTTGGGCTGTGGGTAAGTGAGAGGTTTAACGTTGGCATGACTAACTTCATACAGCGAGTTTGGCAGCCTCTGAACCTCTGGATCTGGGGGCTCCAGAAGGGAAAGCACCGCAAAGAGCCCGCGTGAGGGCTAATTGCAGTAGCTTGAGGGCCGGGCAATGCTAAGGCCTTGCAGAATACAGGGTGACGCACAAAGGCACGAATCAGACTCAGTGCCTACGCACCGGATGCAACGTTCTACTTGTGTCACACTCACAACGCGCGGGTGTACTAGCCACTCCAGAACTTGTGCTGGTTGGATCTACGAATAGGCGGCATCAAGAACAATCCCACAATCTTGATGCACAGTGCCGTGCTGCCGCATCACAACATCTTCCAGTGCCCAGCATCGCTCTGGCCTGATGTTGTGGATACCTGCTTGCTGCCAGCCCTTGTCTTGGCTTTCTTGCTGTCGTTGCAGGGCAGATTCTGCATTCGCCGCTTCATGTTGGATGACTGTGGGAACCTGTCCCACCAGTCTTTTGTGTCAGGATGCACACGGAACTCTTGAATCGCCTGTGTTACGGCTGTTGAAACATCGGGCTTCCATTCCGAGAAATAGTCTTTCCCATCAAAAACCAGCTTGATCATCCACAGCTCACCGTTCGTCGTGCGTTGCGAGAAGCGCTCAAGGCGAGCAGCCAAAACAGTTGCATCAGCGGTCTCATCTTTCCACCACTTCAACCGCCTCAATGCTAGCACGATCAAGACACATAGAGTCGACACGCGCGCACGGAAGGCAACGCACAGTAGAGCAACAGCTAAGGCCCACTCATGTTGAATTCGCCCAAGAAGGCTTTCGGAGAGAAAATCTCCATGGCTCTAGCACTACGCTCGTGTGAAAGGTAGTGGGTAGCTCTGACAGTCTAGCAGTGCGGTCTGCTGCAAGGACATGGGTATGTCGTACGTGTTGCCAGCAAGGGTGTTGGCAGCCGCTGCGGAATTTGACTGACCATGGCAAGGTGGCTACATCACATAACCAACGACTCCTGCGTTCGAGAATGGAGCAACAGCAGGGCGCAGCGGTATGGCCAAATTGCAGAGGAAAGCACCACAAATCTGAGCGCAACACCGCTGTGGTCTCGACATTGCTTGCCTGCGCATCGGGCCCTTGCAAACATGCCTCCCACCCTTCCCGCCTCCCCCTTCCTCACCAAATCCACACAATTCTTTTGTTTCAGAATTGTCCAGTCTGTGCCCCAGGTCATCTGCAATGCAGATGTCAGCAAAAATGCACGTCTCAAGAGCACAGCTCCGCATACTGTAAACAACCGCCGATGCTGCTGTGGATACCAGATTGAATTTGCAAGGTGTAAACACACAGTGGGCACAATGCGTACAATTGGCATGGTTGGTACATTTGGTATTGGCTATAAGAGGTATAGTGAGTCCCCGCCTGGCCCGAGCCATCCAGGTATCCATGGCCCTGGAAAGTCGAGTCTGCCTTCGAGTCTTGGGTACTCAAGCCTACGGCACCCCTGCGCAGCAGAATATCTTTACATGCGGGGCGAATACCTGTTGCTGAACTCCAGTTTAGACATCCTGCAGATTTACTTCCCGGAACTATCCCATCTTCATTTGCTTTCAGGTGGGATTCTAGGGTGATATCATTGGGATATTCTCCACTACCGCTTTTTGCAGAATCCAACCCGTCACAACACAACAGTTTGCAAGCACAGGCTTTGCGAAAGCCGTCGAGATGCTGACAGGCTGACAGGTCTGGCCTTTAATCCTTCCTGTACGTACTGCACTTCCTACGACAAGCACCCCCCAAACGGACCTATGATTTTGGATTAAATTAAACTCCCAGTTATAAGTGACTAGTACTGGAGCCGCCGAAGGGACTGGAACACGTCTTGTTACGAAGGCCTGGGCTTACATCCCGGAGGTTTGGGAAAGCCCTTGCCCACTACCTTGACGGAGAGTGGCACCTGCGGCTTTGCCAATGGTGGGCTTGAAATTTGATACTTTAAGCGCGAAAGGATTGCGGGTCAGCAGGGATTGTGCTTTCGTGTGTTGCTAGAGAGATACGTGCGCGAATGATGCGCGTGATATGGTGTGATGAAGATGATCACAGAACCTGGCACTACTGCATGTGAAGCATTCCAGCGCACCTGGCCAGATGCATCAGATGCATCCACCAAGTCGCGCAGCTTGTCATCCGAGTGAGGTCTCTCAACCACGTCCGGCACAACCTTCGATGCTAGTAGGCTGGTGTAGGCCGAGGGTAAAGCCGGGTAAAGCATCCCAGAGGCGTCGTGAGGTTGAGTAGGCATGAGCATGGCATGAACTTAGCAAGTAAGGAACCCCTTTCCACATCGTATTCCCCATGGCATAAGTCGCTGCGGATATGAGGTGGCTTGGTTTCTGGTAACTGAGCATTCGTTCAAATTCCAACCACTCCTGTAAAGCCATACAGCAGTTAGACGGTGTCCTTGATCTCAGGAAGATGCACTCTGGTCTTTTGTTCATCATGGTTGACATCACTGAAACAAAAGTATACAGCTTAACTGGGGCAAGTATACCGCTAAGCCGGCAGGGACGCTGGAATTCCACCCCTCAGGCACAGTTTGCCGGCATAAAAAAGCCAAAAGCAGCAAAGGAGCTGGATAATCTGTGCTTGTCCAACTGGTGTCCTGATGCTGGCAGCAGCCAAAAAAACGAATTTGGCACACAGAAGGAGACTTTGGCAGTCCTGAAGAACCTATTCGCATGTCTGCAGGGCTTGCTCTGCTGAACTTGAATTTGAACCCCTGAGACTGCATGACCTCGCTGTCACCCACGCCAAGGTCGCTGGCGTGGTCGACGGTAGACTCCTCCAACGCTTTGATGCCAAGGACTTGCGCAGTATGCAGCAGTTCTGCACCATGAGCTGATAGCCGGCTGGGAGCTCTCGTGTTCGCAGGACACTTTATTGCAAGCTTCTGAATTATTGTTTCACGGGGAACCGCAGGCCCGCATGATTCATCATGCATGTGACGGTCCGACGCGGCGAACTCTGCAGAAGCGCCCACGTCCTGACGAGCATGCAGAAGATGGCACGCATGCGGAGTCTGATCCCACTTCTTGCTAACGCTGAGGGCACACTTGTGACATGGACCTTCAAGCTTTTATCCGCCCTCTTGCCATTAGGAATCTCTTCGCCGCCTTCCATCGGACTGCCGGCGGCACCCTTCAGCGCTACAGTACTTGCTTTGGAAACACAGGGATGAGCTGTGAAAGCTCCCAGCTTCTTGTCTGAATATGATCAAGGCTTCAGTGAAATTTGCTCCGGGGCTTCTCTGTACTGGTTGGCCGGAGAAGGCGGGCAAGCGTCCGAATTGCGCGAAAAAACTGTCTTTCCTGCGTAGCAAGTGGAATAGTATACTCTTAATCTTCTAATCTTTCTGAGACCTCACAGGCCCTTCTTCCTCGCCTCAGCCGGAACGCCCGCCAGGTCAACATCCTTCGCCAAAAGCACATTGCAGCCAGCATGCGCGCGTGACATGAGGAAAAAACAGGCGCTCGCAAAACTACCTTCCATAGGGTGGCGTCCTTGCTAAAAGCGGCAGCAACAGACTTCGAATGAAAGCCTGTGTCTCACGTTGCACTACGCCCAGCTCGTAATGTGACAGTCTCCGCACAAATCACACAGCTCCATCATGCATGTCCTGGTTACTTAGCCCTGCATTACAGCCGCGCTGTCAGTCCGTCGGCGACAGCTCTCCGGAAAACTCACTTGCGTCGTGGCGCTTGGCAGCAGAGCAAGAAAAAACTGTTCAACTCATGCCGGGCTACGTGTGTGCCGAATTGTCTGTATATAGACCCAGTTACGCAACGAGAAATGCATATCGCCCCTTATGATGCCAGATAGTGGGTGACTCAAGTTGGCGAAGAACGAACTGGAAAACAATGGCGATTGCAGTCATTGCTGGCGGTTCACAGCGCCGTCCTCTGCCGATGTGGCATCTGCCGACGCGGCGTCTGCGAGGTCCTGGAAAATCTTGAGGCTTCCGTGTGTCTATATCTATATATATATATATATATATATATATATATATTATATTATATTATATTATACTATATTATATTATATTATATTATACTATATTATATTATATTATATTATATTATATTATATTATATTATATTATAAATATATGCTATGCTATACTGAGGCCGCAGCTTTGCGCCAAATTCCATGAGAGATCATGCACCAGCGGGGCATCTTTGCGAGGCAGTGTTCCGCAGTAGTGCACTGAGCTCCACTCACACACAGACTGAGCCAAACCTTCTCACGTTTGTGTGCGCACATCACAGTTGTTTGTCCCACTGGAGGACGGGGACAGAACTGCACCGAAGCAAACACAAGCAAGCGTTGCAGAAACTGTATTTGTCATCTTCCTCGCGACGCGTGCTAATCAGCAGCCATCAGCAGTCTATTGATATTCCTCACCCGACGAATCCTAGCCCCAGAAATCTGTGTGCGGGTCCCCGCGAGTCACCCATTTCCCACACAAAAAATGCGTGCGGGTCCCTGCGGGTCCCCGTTTCCCTTGGTTTTCCCACCATACCCCGTTTGGGTTATATACAAGTAATAAAGGGGGAGGTGTGTGACGAGCGAGGACGGCCACGGAGGCACGCTTCTTCTAACACTGAAACATGTGAACTATGTCTACTCCAACTTACTTTGACTCCATGTACAAGCATGTGGGGATGAACAAACCCATGTAAAAACGCAATGACATGGTTACGTTCGTTTAACCTCGGCGCGCGTCCCTGCAGGTCCTCATTTTTCCGACAGAAATCTGTGCGCGGGTCCCTGCGGGTCCCTCGCGGGTCCCCCAATTTCCCACACAAAACATGCGTGCGGGTCCCTGCGGGTCCCCGTTCGTTTTGGTTTTCCACCATACCCCGTTTGGGTTATATAGAATTAATCAAGGGGGAGGTGTGTGACGAGCGAGGCCGGCCACGGGGGCACGCTTCTTCCAACACTGACCCCTTATACGGGATAACACAGCTTAGGACCGTATTTGAAGCCAGTTTGAAGCCGGGAGTCCTGGGATCGCCTCCAAATACATTACCTCAATTCTGTGAAATAGAGTACGGCACCAGTTCTAGCAAAATTGTGACTTTGGAACCTTGGAATTGGGGAAATGTATTTGAAGTTTTATAGGTCTGGAGATATTGACAAACCTGTCAGGCAGGAGTGGTGTAAACCATGCAGAAAAGTTGCAAGAAGCCCAAGTTTAAGTAAATTGGAATAAACAGTTCCGAAGTCTTATGGGTCTGGAGATATTAAAAGTCAATTGATCATGTTGACTCCAAATACAAGCATGCGGATGAAGACAACCATGTAAAGACGCAATTAGATAGTTAACACGGGCTTCTTGCGGCTTTTCTGCCTGACAGGTTTGTCAATATCTCCAGACCTATAAGACTTCAATTGTATCAAACACACCTTTTGGACAATGGTGGATGCTACAGTGTTAGAGGAAACCTGCCTCCGTGGCCGGCCTTGCTCGTCACGCACCCTCAGTAGAAACCAGCGTGTCCAACTAGCATCCTCGTTGTTGTCCTGGCAAATGCCGCGGCCTCTCCCTGCCCAGACCTACAAGCCAGGTGGTGCGAGAGGGAGAGGGAGAAGGAAAGAGAGAGAGGAAGAGAAGATCATTGTATTACCTTGTGGAATGTTGTTTTAGAAACCAACGTGTCCAACTAGCATCCATGTTGTTGTCGTAGCAAATGCCGCAACTCGTATCCTCGTATCCGCCGAGGTTTTGTATTCATTGCCACCCCCTTGCCCGGCTTCCCCTCATTTTACCGGATGGCATCCCCGCACCTATTGAATCGTGGGAGTCCTGCTCAAAGAAATCTCAATATAGCCGTGACCTGAACAGATTTCCTGAGTGATACAGAAGGCTTTCCCGTTTCATCCGGACCCTGCACCTCAGAAGTCGAGGCGGGCGGCGTAGCGTTAAAATTACCTTCTTGCATGTTGCTATAGAAACCAGCGTGTTCAACTAGCACCCTTGTTTTTGTCTTGGCAATTGCCGCAAATGGTATCCCTGTATTCGCTGCCTGAGTGTTGTTTCAGAAACCAGCGTGTCCAACTAGCATCCTAAACAAGAACCAGCGTGTTCAGCTAGCGCAGTGTTTGGTGTAATGCGGGAGCTGTATAAGGACCGTATATGTATGTAACGCCAACGCCCACCCTGTAATTGCTGTGGCTTTGTATTGCCGACTTTTAAGTATGTAACGCCAACGTCCACCCTGAAATCGCTGCGTCTTCGTATCGTAGACTTTGTAAACTGTAAGGACAATATAAGCATGTAACGCCAATGCCCACCCTCTTAGGGCTCGTGGCTTCCCAGCTTCCAGCATCTCAGCTTTCCACCCAGGGGCCGCTCTGTAGGATTTGGGGTTCAGGGCTGAGGGTTTGGGGAGGTTTGGGGTCGCCCTGACACGAGTGGGAACGCGAACGTCTGAGGCTGATGGAAACAGGCACTTCATGCAGGGAACTTGAAGCGCCTCTCAGAGACCGGTCCAGGGGGCAAGGGCCGCACCAGTGCTGACGGCCAAGGCCAAGCAAGGTCAGCAGGCTAGCCGAAAGCAAAGTGAATCCTCTCACAATTTCTCGATTGACCCTGCATGGCTAGTGGAGAGAGCTCAGAAAATGGGACAGCCCTGCCATGGACGGGATGAAATTTAGGATTGCTCCAGAGTGAGCAAGTCCAGCACCGCATCCTGTCCCGTTCCTTGTGTTCGTTTGAATGCCTCCTTTGGGAAGGGCTCCGAGCGTACTTGCAGCATCACGGGAACATCCGGCATTGGCTTGACGACACACAAATCTCCAGAGATCGTTTTTCTAACAGGCGAGATTTCGTTTATGTACAATGGCCACGGCCACGACTCTGCAACACGCCTTGGGCGTTCAACTCACAGAGTGTGCCGCACGATCGTGCGGCGCGGGGTCAAGGCCTGCTCTGCTGCTCTTCTACTTCTGCTGACAGTTTCCTTGCGAAAGAGGGTTCTTCAACCACCACTCCGTCAAGCCCCTCAGGGGAGTCTGGAGAGGATGTGGTCCTTTTGCTCAGTGGAACCTTGGACAACTTTTTCTGCATTTCGCTCCTTTCTTGACTCAGTGCCGTGCAAAGGAAGGCCTGTCGCTTGGCGCTCGCCAGCTCGACAAGCCGGCCAGCCTCCAAGACATTCCACAAGAGTGCTTTGAAATGCCGCTTAGCGGCAGAATTTGCAGCACCGAGCTTGGCGCGCCTGAGCGGTCGCCGTGGCGGTCCTGGCTCTGGCCGTGGCCAGGGCGGAGGCCGCACCTCAGCCAAGACTGCGCGACCGCACGCTGAGAGCTTCCAGTCGCCGAGCGCCGATCCGCCGCTCTGTCGGATTGCCAGCCATCGGTAACTGCCATGGGTTGCCTGAGTCCAACTCTCGGCCGTCGGGCTCGGTCGGGCGTCGCTGCTCCACCTCTCGTCGTCGAGGTGCCTCTTTCTGGCCTGGAGACAAGTCCATGGGTCGGGTGCTCCTACCATGTGCAAGCGCAACATTCCTTGGTGTGTTGGCATTTTGAGGCCAGCACATGCTCAGCAGCGTGTTGCTTGCTAGTGGGTCAGGGCCAGATTGTCAATGATGTGCTCAGAGCAGTCGAGGCAACCCACTGTCTTTGCTAAATGCTTGCAGTTGTTTGCGAGTTTCAAGAGCAAAATAAGAACGAACATGCCAGATAGGTAGGCAAGTGCGTGCACAATAAAGCAACATCCTTGTTGTCACTCAATACGAAAGTCGCCATCTGCCAATTGCCCTCGAAACGGTTGCGACAAACTAGTAGTGACTAGTGCCGATCTTGCAACGTCGAGACTCTTACAACACCTGTTCTCCGTGCAAAGACATTCTGACCATGCTGGACAGGAAGACCAGAGGGGGCCACCATGAACAGAGGCACTCTTCCGCCTCTGAATCAATCATTTCAGCAGGCGGGTTACCGCAAGGTCCCATGTTTTATGGTCACTTGATGTTTCAACTGAGAGCCGATGTCTCCTAAGCACGTGCATTGGCGTAATTTACATTGCGCAATGCTCTTTCAGGGAAGAGTCTCCGACTCTTTTGGGGCACTTCTTCGCAAAGCTGCAACACAATTTCAATCCACTCCTCCGAAACTCTTCACTCGACTCCACCTGCACAGACAACATCGTGGAGGCCATCCTCGAGGCAACAGCTCCAGAGCTTGCAGAATCCTGATTCAACGGCGAGGTCAGAGAAAGAGGCACAAAGACTTTCTCAGCACCGCTCCGTCCAGGTGACATCGGCGAGACTTCGTAAGTCCTGTGCCACAGTTGGATTAGAGATGCTGACACCGTCTCAGCCCATCCTGGAACGTGCTTCCCATGGCACTGGCTCTCGTGGACTCGGTACCTGCTCTGCGACATCTGCGAGCAGGGGCAACGTAAAACTGCGCCCGGCTGCCCGGTGGCAGTTGCCAGCCGCCTGATGAGAGGGTCGCAGTCGCAAGCTTGCCGTGTGTTGCCATCAGCTCGACTGCCTGGGAGGGTCGCGACAATGCTGCACTGATCCACTTTCCCTCCCTCCACTGCCTCCATCATTCCAACCCGGACGGTGTCAGCGGCTCTGAGCACAGTTTGTAGTTGCACGTTTGCTGTTTGTTGAATCCAGAGCAACGCAGGCAGCCGCCTGCTTCTTGGCGACGCGATCGCCGCATGAAGGCCTCTCTCTCCGTCTCTGCCGGGATGACCGGTCGACCCTGACGTTGAGGCCTAGGCCGCCTGGGCCGTTCTCGAAACGACCTTTCTGCTCCAGGACGGCTGCTCGCTTGCTCTCGAGCTCCTGGCGCGCAAAACTTGGCTCACGCGTTGGCGGAAACAGCGGCCGGCCGCCGCCGGCCGCCGGGTCCTCGCCACGCCGGTCGCGAAGCTCTCGAAGATCTGCTTTCAGCTGATGCTCGCGCAGATCAACCTCCCTGCAATGAGGGAGGGCACAAACGCAAGACGTACGTAGACTTCTACCAAGTGCACACCTGCGCCGGTACTCCAACATGTTACCATGTTTGGCCGCCAACACTCGGGTCCTCAAGATGCGAGACATCAAGTCGGCAATCGCTCCGCAATCGCGCTCCGCAAACGCTCCGCCGTGCCTCGTGGCCCAGACTCTTTTGCAGTCATCCAAACGCACCTTTGTCTGCTCCTGCCGCATGCTGCCACGTGCCGTTCAAAGCCACGGTGGGCGGCGCCTCTTTGTCGGCTTTCACAGCTCGGACATCTGCCGTATTCTGCATCCTTCGGAGACGGAGCACTGCAAAGAATCAGATTGAAGCATATCGCACAAACAGTTGCTTCGACTCGGTGGGTTTCCTTTGTGGTTTGCGAGCGAACTTAAACGATTGCAACCTGCGACGGGGCGCAATCTCTAGAGCGAAACGCATGATACGCAGCATTGCTGCAAAAAATCTTGCAATATCCAAATGTCCGACACAGCTGTGCCTGCTTTTTCAAATTCCTTTTTATCGCCAAACAGCCAGATTTGTGAACTTTCGCGCAGACGTGTTTTGCTTTCGCGAGCCTCGTATATGTGCATATATATATATACATACATATATCTACATCGACATCTACATCTACATATAATACATCTACATATACATATACCTGCAGCCTCCTGCATCTATTCTGAACCTGGGCCTGATGAGTTTCTGTGCATCTGTTTTTAAGTCATAATCCCTTTCGACAGAGCTCCTGCAATGCTGTGGTGAGAACCTGCACTGGCCTATTGCCCTCGGGACACAGTTGAGCATTCGTGGTGTGTTTCGCGGAGCTTTCGCGGAATCCACTAAACATCCTCAATCCTGATCTCAAACTTGAAAATCATGGCCACTCACCACAACGACAACCACTTACGCCCCGCAGGTCCGCTTTACCACATGTTGCGCCGTATGAAGGTACAACAACAGGCCGGAGTTCATATCTGTAAAGGCTGGGGGCCCGAACGATGCAAGGGTGCAGGAACTCTTCTCCGTAGGGTTTACGGTTCACAATTCACGGCTTGCAAAGATGTCATGGACATAGCTAAAAGGGCCGTTGGTTCCCCAAGTCATGGGTCAGCGCGAGCAGCTGCTGGTTGAGGTGAATCTTCTTCCTCCGCTTGGTCGCCTTCATCATCGGGGTCACTGTCGTGCATACGGCATACGGGCATTGACAAGCCGTTGTTGCTGTCTTTCAGATTCCTGATGCTCGTAGTGCAAACTACTTCTGCTTTGAACCTGATGTGCTAAACTTCCGCCGAAGTACGCGGTCGGAGCTTGCCAAGAGTAGTGGCAACGGGCACACCTTTGTGTGTTACTCAATACGTCCTTCCATCAAGACCGATAACTATGGATACTCCAAACCAGCTTGGTGTACCGCTTGAATTTCTCTGAATACAGTAACAGACCACGTCACCTGCGGCATATTTGCCGGGTAATGGTCGAGTGCGTGGGGATTTGATCTTGATGATGCCCTTGTCGCTCACCCCACAGAGCTATGTTGAATACTGGCGTGGTTGCCACTCTCTCTTTCCCTTTCTCACACGTAAGCCTTACTCCCCGTGCAGGCAGATCCAGAGCTCGCTTGTTTTGCACCTTCGCGGCCAGCGATGGATCGTCTGTGCTCGGGATGGCTCTGTCCCTCGGAAGGTCACAGAAGACGATAGCTATTTAGCTATGGGCAATGCTTTCTAGAGCATGTGCTCACACTTGAGCCAAAGTTGCGTGGGCGGAAATCATACAGAAAGGTTCGGCATTGCGGCGTGCGTAGCACTTCCACAAGCCTACACCTAGAGACGAAGGACGCGTAGCGTGCCTTCTCTCTTGACCTTTACATGGCCATGCTCACAGCTCTTATCGTGACACCATAGAACTTGACTAGGCATCGCAGTCCGTTCGCACCCCCCATGAGTTGCGTCTCCGACGCTGCTCACCCGGAAGTAGGCGCGATAGGAACACTAGGGATTAGTCCGCCGCAACTTTGAAATATGGATCAGAGCCTTGCATCCCAATTAGAAACGGTGTGACACTCAGCTACGTCAGTGACGATCCCCTGAAATGACAAACGAATCAGGCGTCACCGAAGAAAGAGGCATTCGCAATGAAATTCATGAGCGAAGCGCAGAGGTCACTTGCATAAAGGCATAGCCGATTACGAGTTGTCCCGATACCACTGTCGTGTAGCCGCGGGATCAGCTGGAGGATCACGTTCCCAAGGCCTGAGATTTTCTTCTGGGTACGGAGATCGACCCTTTCCCTTGGCTTTCCCTTTGTTTCTGCTCTTGCCCTCGATGTAGTCATGGTAAGTATTGGAATTCCAACCTCCATGTCTTCCACCTCCTCGTGGGCGAGCTTTCGGGGCGGCAGTGGATGCGGAAGCACTCGAAGTTTCTTCTGCCGTGACAGGTGTGTCCATGATGGAGGTCTGTCCGCGCGGAAGATACTCGTCGGCTGAAATGTGATGTAGTGCTTCAGGACGACGTGCATTTGGATGCTGTTGTCTTTCGAGCCTACTGGCACGCAGCTTGTCCAAGAAATGTGACGGCATCTGTACGTTGTGATCCACAAGCAACCCGATGGTCTGCACGGAATGGTCCATGTGCATCAGGAGGATCCCGACTGGGTCGATGTACAGAAAGTCCACTGGTCCAGTTGGTGTAGGCCGAAGAACAGAAAACTGCGAATGTCCTGTCACCATGGGAATAACTTCGCATAGGACGTTCAAGCAACAGAAGTGCATGACCTTCACGTCGGTCTCATCCTTCAGGTAGGTGCTTGGGTTGAAGTTTTCCCTGCCAATTCCCATCATGTTGGCTCCTCGGATCAACATCGAGATCAGCTGGTTCGTTCGGAAGCGCTTGAGAGTGTACGTCCCATTGGGATCATACGCCTTGGCATTCTCCCTTTCCTTGGCAAAGCGAAGGATCTCTTCATCGGTCACCTCCCTGCTCACACCAGTTTCGGAGTCCAATTCTGCCAGTACACCCCACTTTCCAAGCACGTCATAGCGTTGGCCATTGGCGAAACTCTCTTTGAGCTGGAATAATGGAATAGTCACCCATTTCGCCAAGCCAGACCATGTCTTGTAGATGCATCTGCAGACCACAAACGCCATGTAGGAGAGAGCAGCCATGTTAGCATCGATGCAATGAGCATTTCGCTTGTTGTGGTAATAAGGTGGTTGCATAGCGGTGCGAGCGATCTGCAGCTCAGGATCGATGTTCAAGGACTGACCAGCGATGAGGACAGGACGACGTTCAAGTGCCACATCCTCGGGTACATCGTCGTCAAAGTCCGCCATTGGATCTGTGTCCATTTCCTCGTCGGGCTCCTGTTCTGCATCTTCGTCTCCGATGATGGAAGCTTCGGGAATGCCTTCGGGTTCTGCCACCGTTTCGACCTCCATGGCTTCCTGTTCCTCAGCAGTTGTCTCAGGTACCGCTGCAGCTGCAGCCTCCATTGTTTGGGCAATGAATTTACTGGGGATCTCCGTAGGAGTCTCCCGTTGTGAGGTGCCTTGATGAAACCACATGAGATGAACTGTGACCAGCACGAAGTACAGCGGGGGAAGCATGCTGGCACGATATTGTAGCATGCCGGGCACACCCTCATCCTCCTGCCATCTTCCTCTCTTCGTAGATCTTCGAGCCGCCAGTTCTTGATGACGAACTTGATGGCTTTGTCCATGTAGTGATGCCGAACGGTGTTCTCCCTGTGGGCTTCGAGCACAGTCGTAAGGTCGCGAATCATCTGCTCCTTACTCGTGTCATGACCTGAGGGCATGTCGCAAAGCAGCTCCATGATCTTGCCCGGCGTCCTGTACCTCTCGAATTCCGGGAGCAATGGAGATCCGCACCATCTCTTTCTCCAATCGTTCATCGTAGATCTTTTCAATCAGCGCGAAAGAGTGTGTATCCCGAGGATTCGGTACGCAAAACCATACCTCCTTGACGAACGGAAACGGTATCGTGCGCCCAACAATGATGACACCACTGTCAGTGATACGTCCACCTTCTCGGGCAAGGTCTGTTGAAGCAACGTGGAGGACGCCAAGTGGCATGTGCTTGGCCTCCGGTCCGTGTACCCGAGCTTTCGTCGTAGCATTCCTGCCGTCAAACGGTGCGAATACCCCCCAGTAGCTGTGGAGTCGGCCTCCTCTGTCCTCCCTGAGCTGGCGGCGCCTGTCGAAGTCCCCGTCGGGGTCCTCCGAACCAGGCATAACGCCTTGCAGAACAATGGAATCCAGATTGCGGCACGCTGTCGCGTGGAATGCGCCTCCTAGGCGTCCCAGAAGGGTCATCGACGGAGATATTGTGAACCTGTCCTTGTCCAACTGAAGCAAGTTGTTCTGGGGATCGGAATGCGTAGAGTGACCACTGGTAGCCCGAACTGCCCATGGTTTGACCCAGCCATTGCACTGTGATAAGTACTGCTGATTGGGTCGGCAGTTGTCATTGTTCTGGATCTCGGTGATCTGATCCTGCACGGAAACCAGTCTGTCCGAGTCCGCTGATCCAAGAGGTCCACCGCCAGGGTCTTTCACTCTCACACCCAGGAACTGGAGCCGGATCTTGGCCTTGAACCGTTTCGTGGCCGCCAACATGTTCCCCTGGAACAGTAGCTGCAGTCTCTCATTGTACACCCTCTTCCTCTGTTCATTGTCGCGTCCAAGAGCTCCTTCGGTTATGCGCCTGCTGCTGTGGGTCCAGGTCCTCGACAATCACCCATCCTCCTTCATCACATCGAAGGACGCCCATGAATGCCACTTGGCATCTTCCATCAAGCCATTCTGACCCTGGACGTCTTGCGATTCTGTGGCGCAAGTCAGACTGAATGCATGACAGAGTCCAGTCGGCGTTCCTCCTTCGGTGGGCGTTGATGTTGCGAACCACGACCTCGTCCACGATGTCCCATCTGGAATTGATGAATCGCGCACCTTTGGTCGGGATCAGATCAAGAATGCTACATCTGATCGGCCTTCCGCCTCCAATGGATTGGTAGCCTTGGTTTTCCCACTGCCGAGTAGTCTCATTGTATTCGTAACTCGCACGATCTCCTCGTTGAGGTAGTCGGCGGTCACGATGATCTGACAACTGTTCAATGAGATCCACCACCCGCTGGCTGTTTTCGGGGCCCATGTCCTGCAGCCTTACGCCACAAGCATCATGTAGACCTCGACGGTTCTCCACGTCAGCACATAGGTTGTGTGGGTTCTCGTAGCGGATCAGGACGATGTCACTCCGAACGGCCTCGCCTCCACGTCGTGGGCGGGCTTTGGCCTTGGGTCGTCGGTCCGATGATGCTACGCTCACGTGATCTGTGGAGTCAACGTCCATGCTTTCAGCTTGCTGTGCAGGTGGTCAACGTGGATAACGAAGAAGATTGTCCCTGATGATCTGAAGACCACGCTGTACCAAATCTCGTGTAGCAGCATTTTCCGTGCAATCGGACAAGTGGTGTGAATCACTGCCACAGGCAACGCAGAACGTGAAGTCGTGAATTCCCAGCACCATTTCGAGAAATCAGAAGCGGAAGCCAGGCCTTTTGTACTCGCCGTACAGCTCCGATTAAGTGTAAATTAGGTCAGGGGCAGCCTGGAGACGATTTGTTAGCGCTGCCTGCTGCATGCCCTCCAGCCCTGCTGAGCAGAGCCCTGACATATGGAAACTTGAGCAACATAGCAGAAACATCAGGATTTGTACGCCAAGTTGGATGGCGCATGTCCCTTCACACATCTGTATGCTTTACGTCAAGACTCAAGGCAAGTCATGACACGTCTTCGTCTTACAAAACGAGTGTTGAGAGAACACTTCGTGGAACATTTCACTGCAACTAAGCAGGGAGCGCTGCCGCACTGAACACTATGGGATGGCCCGTATGGCCTTTATGCGTTGCATCACAAAAGCACATGCCAAAGCTGACATTCCTCGGACTGTGTATGCAGCCGCTGGTTGCAATGGGATCCCAGATTGGCTCAAAGCAGCCCCTATTCCCAACTCGTCACAAGAAATGACTCGGAGAGCCTGCACATACGTAATGCCAGCCCCAAGGGGCCAAGGAAGTTGCATCGACGTGTCTGCTCTGCATGCATAGAATGCAAAACCCAAAAAGAACCCCAGAAGTATGGCCCAAAAGAACCACAAGGGCGGGGCTGGATGCTCAAAGAGAAGAGCCCAGCCATGCTGCACAAGACCTGATGCGGGAAATCCCACTCAGGCCTTGATTTCCAGTTCGGCTTGCAGATGCGTAAGCAAAATGCTCTGGCGCTCTTTGCAAGCATGTGGAGTGGCCAGACCCTCGCTTCTGAGCACCTCCAGAAGTTGGCGGCCTTCCATGGAATCCGCTACAGCAACAATGTCAGCCCAAGCTTGCACTGACGATTGGTCTGTGATGGCTCCTGCCAGCACTTTAGTAGCGAGGCGTCTTTGAGGGCCAGACAACACGATCTGTCCTGCATCGGCACTAGACGGCGGAGCAGGCTTCGTATGTGCAGTTGTGGACTGCAACCTTTCCCAAAGACGTTGTTCTAGTTCTTGCAACTCTTTGTGCTTCTTCTCTTCAACAGCAGCCTGTTCGGTCTTCTCCTTGAAAGCACGGAGTTCAGACAACTCCCGCTTGATTTTTGACGAATGCTTGGATCGCTTGTGATTGTCTGCAGATGACGATCGGGACGAATCTGACGAGGCATCGTCGCGATGTGAGCGCTTCTTGCAGGAATGACGCCTTGTAGACTTCTCCCTATCTCCCAACAGCATGGCATAAGCCAATCCAGCATCAAAGCTTGAGGAGCCGCCTTTACCACTCCATGACTGCTGATTGCCGCCAGACCAATTGCTCCGGTTCCAGTTCTTAGACGACCACTGATTGTAGTAGCCTTTGTTGCCTCCCTTGCCCCATGTCGCCTCTAGGTGGCGAGGGAACAGCAGGAACCAAAGCAGGAGGCTAAGCGGGACCATCATGCTGCTCACTGTCTCTGGCAAGAGGCTGCAAGTTGCTTGAACATTGGATCGCGGATAGCACTGCGAAGTAAACAAATCGTCTCATGCAAACTTGCAATATGCACTGTGAAAAGTACCTTCGACAATGCTCTGCTATTCCATCCACACGACATGCAATCCAAAAGGAAATGAAGCATATACAAATGCAGGTCACTACGTGAATCACATATTTGCGAGGCGCGATGAATTGCACCCAACAGCAGAGGCCGAATGTAACCTTCTCCAGTCGCCCATGGGGGAGGAATCTGTAGCACCTTTCTTTTGGGTGTCAAACGTTTGTCAGAGCCCACCACCATGTCTAGGAAATGGAGGGGGAACTCATCCTCGGCAACATCGAACCGCTCCTGATACACATGAAGAAGGAGATCAACGAGGCAATCTTTGCAAAAACTGTGGGTACCCAAGAACACGTCATCAACATACCTGACATGGCAAACCGTACGCCTCCAGGATTGTCGCAGGGAGTAAAAACCTGCACGCTGTCTTTGCATATGATTTGTTTTCCAGTTCTCCTCTTCCTGGCAAAGAACCATGCTTGAAGCCAGTTTGCTCATGAGGCCACCTATCGGCAACCCACTCAACATAGCAACAGCGTGGCCCACAGACACTAAGGAGACGCTGACGGCCGTCGAAAACGTAGCAAAAATGTCCGACAAGCTCAAGCGGACAAACTTGCCGCGTCCACCTTGTAACTCGCACGTCATGAAACCAAAGAACTTCCGGGTGCGAGCAACGGCAACGCCCTTCCAACCAACAGAAGCAGCCGCAGAGAAGACAGTGAACCCGGCATCAAGAGCGCGTTGTGGAGCAACCTCTCCATAAAACTGACCAGCATCTGCTACAATTGCAACGAAGTGTTGTTTTGCTGCTTGGCACCTTAAGCAAGTGTGCGGGTCTCCAGGAATATCCAGATCTCTGAGCCCTTCGCGTAGTTTCACGGTTGCGTCCTTCAACCCATGAGCCTCAAACCCTGGGCACAAATGTCGTAGAATAACATCTGCACCTCGATTGAAATACTGCCAAACACGTCGTTTTGGCCATTTGGCATAGCTACAAATCTTTCGAACGCAAGAATGTGCATGCTTTTGGCAACATCGCCCCACTTTGCAGCCATCATAAAAACATTTGCTCTTCAATGTTGTGTAGACGTACGGTAAAACCCAGACACCATCATGTAGTCCTAGCCGTGCGCTTAGGGCCGCACCCAAGGTGTTCTTCATGCGCTGCAGCAACAAGCTGTTGGCATAGGCCCGCGAGTACTGCACAAACGTCCAGGTACTGGACAAGCACACGAAAGCAAGGCAGAGTACTTGGTACGCAAGCTTTGGCAAGATCCATGCACTTTTCTTGTTTTTGTCATCAGGAACAACAGCCCGACGCAACCTGTAGAATTGCATGCCCTTGGTCTCGCAAGCATAAGCATCCGCAGAACGCCACTGTCGAGCCAACAACCTGTCAACTTCAACAGAAGAACGCAAGGAAGTGGACACAGTCGAGTGCAGACCGGCAAGCTCACGTTGTGGCAAGCCAAGCGACTTGAGACCCTTCAATGTTTCATCACGAATGCACTGCACACGCTCAGAAAAAGTCAACCTGTATCGATAATCCCAGTTCTTTTCCGATCGAAGGAACCCTTGTCCTGACATGATCGAAGTCAAGTCATGCATGCTCAGACTCTCAAGTGATGTCAGGGACGCTCTCCCAGCAACTTGCACATGGTTCCAGAAGGACTTGAAAGTGCGGCTTTTGCCAACTTGCACACGTATGCGAGACTTAAGCCAAGATTTCTCCACACCTGAAAACCTGGCAGCAGAGTTAATGTACTGGACCAACACCTTGCGGAGAACACGCGCAGACTCCTTATCCGGAGAGGCAACACGCAAAAGGCCAAACGGCAAGCGCTTGTAGTCACAGTACTCTTGCAATCTCCGGCTCAGCATGGCACGTTGACCGGAACGAGGCAGGAACCGTTTCAAGCCACAGAGGGCAGGAAACAAGAAAGATCTGCCCCACTTTCGCTCACAGAGTTGCCAATCAACGCATGCTAGTCGTGTAACCAACCACAGTGCAAGCAAGTCGGCGTTCGCAGGATTGTAGATGTCGTGCGGACCAAAGAACCCAGTGTCAGCCAGAACTGCTCGTGAATGAGCCAAATAAGCAGTGGCATATGGTATCCTCTGAACATCAACATGTTGCAACCTAACTCCTTGATCCATCTTCGTGAGACGGGCCTCGCGTGCACGTAGTCTGGCACCATCTTCTGATTGATTTTGTGGTTGAGGAATCCGACAGTGTTTAGGAGGTCGCTTTCTCTGCTTCTCGCGCATGCCCGTGGCAACATATCCATTGGCGGAGGGTCGATGGTTGACGATGTCTTGCCACTCCACAGCACGCATGCGCAAAGCCGTGCCCTGACCAACGACTACGAAAAAGATCATCCAAGGAGGATGTCTGCGTGCCATACGATAGCGAAGCTTTCTTGCTTCCGGTAAGTGAGGCCGCATAGTCGCAAGCATATGCTCAGAGAAACGTTTCACAGGCCCAGCAATGTTGGGCGCACTATCTCTGGCAGTATGTGCGAAACCTGTATATCTGAAATGACACGAGAACCACTGATAAACAACCGCCTCGCTATCAGCAGTATCCAAGATCAGGGCCTCATGCCATCTCACCAAGTCTCTGACAGCAACAAAGGAGCCGCGACCCTGAAAAGCAGCCTGAACATGGTCGGGTAACAACCGCAACACGCACACAGCCTGTCTCTTGCTACAATTGTAGCGTAGCCAAAGCAAGCCCTTGGCCATTGCGCAGAGACATACCAATCTTTCAATGTCCGGTGAAATACGGCATTTTTTACTGTCGGAAGGGAACATGTATTCAAGCAGAAGCTTTTGGAGCTTTGTCAACACAAATTCGACGAGGAAACTCTGGCCGTTGCCAATGGCATAACAGCCTGGCGAAGACTGACCGACACAGCAGTGCCGTGCAGTCGCGCTGCAGTTGTTTGGTGAGCTTTACATCGCCAGAGAAATGAAAAGTCTCATCTGTAACAAGTTCCGACCAGACGCTGCATGCCGTCAGGATGCACATGCTCACGTTCGCCATTGTCTGGAATCTGGCACAAGAAAAAACTGAATGTTGCCCAAGATATGGAAAAGTACGGTATCTGAAGATGCAGCAGATAAGTACTGCAAGATGGATGGAGTAGTCGAGGATGAAGAAAACACAAGGCACCGTAGCAAAACACAGTCACTGGTAGCCGGTGAAGCCTTGTGGGAAAGCCAAGAAAGCAGGAGCGGAAGCCAGGCCTTTTGTACTCGCCGTACAGCTCCGATTAAGTGTAAATTAGGTCAGGGGCAGCCTGGAGACGATTTGTTAGCGCTGCCTGCTGCATGCCCTCCAGCCCTGCTGAGCAGAGCCCTGACATATGGAAACTTGAGCAACATAGCAGAAACATCAGGATTTGTACGCCAAGTTGGATGGCGCATGTCCCTTCACACATCTGTACGCTTTACGTCAAGACTCAAGGCAAGTCATGGCACGTCTTCGTCTTACAAAACGAGTGTTGAGAGAACACTTCGTGGAACATTTCACTGCAACTAAGCAGGGAGCGCTGCCGCACTGAACACTATGGGATGGCCCGTATGGCCTTTATGCGTTGCATCACAAAAGCACATGCCAAAGCTGACATTCCTCGGACTGTGTATGCAGCCGCTGGTTGCAATGGGATCCCAGATTGGCTCAAAGCAGCCCCTATTCCCAACTCGTCACAAGAAATGACTCGGAGAGCCTGCACATACGTAATGCCAGCCCCAAGGGGCCAAGGAAGTTGCATCGACGTGTCTGCTCTGCATGCATAGAATGCAAAGCACCATTTCGCCCTGAGAAAGCACTCCCACGTAGTCGCGGAGCTGCGCCACAAGCCCTTCACGAAGCATTTGGCGTTGATCAGGTTCTTCGGCACCCTGTTCTTCTTCAGGTTGTGCATCCACATCCATCTCTTGAGTCGGCATTGGCGGTGCAACGGAGACGGAAACTCCTGCTTCATCCGTGACGTTGTCAGCGGTCTGCGTCTCGTCGGTCCGGCCAACCTCCACAGGGTAGAAGTCGCCATCAACGATCACGGTCGTGAAATCAATCACGAGGTCTGCAGACATGCTTGTCACGATTTCGGCGATCTCTTCATTCTTCTTGGGCGGTGTCCTCTGGCGCGATAAGCTCGATGGCCTCAGCCGACGCATAGCGGAAGAACGATCTCTCAATGCCCCTCACGCCTGCGTTTGCCCCTTCAAGTCCACCCCAATTTTGGAAATGCGCTGGATACCTCATCGCAATCGTAAGAATTCCAAGTGCCAGCTCCAAGGTGTCTCCTAAAACCTCTTCTTTCGGCGATATGGAGCCTTGAAGGTAGCATTCTTGTCGTTCTTCTGGAGTCAAAAGCATCCTCATGAAACCTGCGTATGCACAGTTACCAGCGTCATAGTAGCAGATGTAGCAAGTCCTCCCTTCGGCGTCATATCCTCTGTCCCATGACAACTGCTTGGCCTTTCCCCATGCCGCGTACTCGATGGCCTGGCTGGCTGTAATACGGAGACCACCGTAGTGAGAAACCGTTTTGCCAACATCTTCATAGGCCATTTCGGCGCATTTCTTGATGAACTCCTTGATATCCACACGAGGGTCCACAAACTGCAGACTCAAGTCATAGATATGCTTGGCGCAAGCAAGAGTGTACTTCTGGGACGTGACTAGGTCGTTGAACGAGGAGACACCATGTTGCATTTTCAGAGCCGCGGTATGCGCACATCCAATGCAATGTCCAGGGTACCCGTTTCCTGTTGGCAAGAAGAAGGTCTGTGCGTAGCACTCGACCGACTTCATCACTTCACATCCAGGGCAATAGAACGTTCTCCCTTTGACATAGCCAGAATTGCCTGTGGAGTAGGCGTCGATTCTGAACCAATAATGCCTGTTGTCATAATAAGCTTCCGGGACAGTCATGGCAATGTCGAAGTCCTGCCAGGTAACTGAAGTCGATTCGGCAACCGTGTCACCTTGGGCACCAGACCAGATCTGTTGCTTTTGTTCCCCCGTAAACCATGTCTGAGAGATCTTCGTGGACGTGGTGACTTCACTCTTGTCCTCCCAGATCTCCACGAGTGTGGGGTGAGCAACAGTATCGACTTGGACACTTTCGTCCCACTGACGTATCCTCGAGCTCTCAACAAAGCACGCCGGCACCATCTTCTCGCTGAACAACTGCTTCTCATAGATAGCATAAGCCAACTTGTACCGGACACGAGATTCGGGAGGAGGCAACTTCTCAGTCGACAGTCGACAGCATGTGCATGCCGGTCGAAGATTGCTTCAATTGGCTGTAGATTCTCGACCAAAACGACGATCCATGAATCACCACACATCCGCGAGCTCGTAGCTCCAATTCAATGTACAGTCCCAATGCATGGAAGCCGTTGTACAAAGAGGCTTTGTGGAAAAGATAATTGCTACCAGCTCCAACGAATCGCAAATCATGGTTGACATTGACGATCGGAGGTCGTGTAGTACGTTTCCCCGCAGCAATGATGGGATCGACGTACACCTCTTTGAGCTGTCGCTGCAACCTTTCACGAATCGATGCTCCGTCTCTGACGTCGCTCAATGGGAAGGACATGTTCTCAATGAGGATAGCCTGGAGCGAGAGATGGTAGTGCATAGTGACGGTTGCGATCTGCTCCTCCGACATACCGTCCAACGTCTCGTTCACGGATTCCAGAGCGCCCTTGGTAGTCTGGAAGTTGTAGTTGGCACCAGCGGATCCATGCATGCTGAGGCTTTCACGTAGCGTCTGGGTTGTCCCCTTCGTCTTGGCAACGATGTCGAAGTCCTGAACAAGGATCGTACACTGGGAACGCATCGTCACGGCATCAGGTTTGCCACCCATGCCCAAACTGTTGCGAAATCCATTCAGCGTGTTCATGGTCATGATCTTTGCTTCGTCGCTGACATCCCCATTGTCGACGAGATCGCGATCCTGTTCGATCATCACTGCCGAGGTAAGCATCGGAGGGGAAGGAAGATGTACACACGACACCAACGCCAAGGCATGGTACAGCCGCGAGTACATGCGAAGCCACGATTTCGTACTCAGCTTCACGTAGACTTTCATGTTGAGACCTTTGTCATCGCTTTGGGAAACAGAACGAACCCTTGCCAAATAGGTCACCAACCTTCTGACGTAATGCTGGATAGCTGTGGTCCCCACTGTCCCCACGTCGTGGCTGGCCACGAACTTTGGCGTCTCGTCAATGGTAGGCGGGTACTCATCATTATCACGCAATGCTGTCAGCAACGCTGAGCGACAGCCCTTGTCGTTGATGTTGACATAGTGGTACCAGCTTTCTTGAGCGCCAGCGGGGATCGGGGCTTCCTCCCAGCTCGGCTGATTCGGTTCTTCCTCAGGTTGCGGTTGTGGTTGCGGAGGAGGTGCTGCGGAAGATGAAGACGCTGATGCTGTCGCCTCGTCAGTTCTTGCCCTCTTCGGTCCATGACTTGGAGTAGCTCGAGGTTCGGCAGCGGATTCCCTTGCTTGTTCCGGTGTCCTTCCGTGATCAGGATGTACGATTCCTTCTGGTTCGAGATTGCTTGCCGTAGGCATCGCAACTCTCCCCGTATCGTAAACCCAAGTTGGATGCCGTTGAAGCCTTGGAGGAAATAGTCCATCATCTTGCATCAGCGGGTTCGGCTTCGCCGTCATCTGTTGAAACTCAGCTTCCCATATGGATAAGGCAGCACGCTTTGCAGCACAGTCAGCCACGTAACCAGATTCAACGCCGCATTGATTCCAAGCGTAACCCCGGAAGGTCTCTGGCAACTGGAACCCATTCTGACCTTGGCTATTGCGCAAACGGCCTCCACATGGTGCTTGAGAAATTCATATGTT